ATTCACCACAAACATTGCTATAAATAAGCTATTAATGTTGTGAGCCTGAGCCAGGCTATGATCCGGCTTGTATCTATTATCCAATTATCTATAAATAAGCTGACAAATGCTTAACATTATCAAACGTAGCAGTACTTGAGCAACGCATGATTGCTTACTCTGATCTAACACTCTGTTGAAGACTTTTCTAAGTAAGAAATTCTTCTTCAATTCATTCAACATGAAGGATGTTATTGTGATATTCTACCATTTCTAACTAGTACGCGTTTTCTATCTTCCGTTAATGCTTACGAGTGCTGGTATGATTATAATCACTCCATGTTTCTGTTATCAGTTCATTGTATGGTACTTTAATGATGGTTTCAAGAAGATATTTCTGCGTCTCAGTATTGCTTCTATCACTTTACTGTAGTATCGACAAGCAATTTACGATCTCAGTTCAAGTAGTTCATGTCTCCTGAGTATATATTATGCAATACTATACTCATGATAATGTGATTTCGTGAATTAGAGAGGTGAGAAATTCTCTCCCCTACACCATCAACTGCCTATGGATAGTGCGGAAGTGAAGTGTTTCACTATGATATCTATTAATTATTTTCACCTTCTGCGTGCATTCAGAAGTGATGACGATTCAAAATCTAAATCGTTCACCGCTAAAAATGTCAACAATGCCATCAAATATCATCATTGATCATCAATTCCATATACTTACAATCTGATTATAGCTACCGTTGAAATGAATTATTCGATATTAACTTAATGCATGAGTTCTGTTACCATTCCATCCACTGTGAATGAATAACAATAAATTAATCATCGTTTAGACTGCATTACGTTTTATTATGCGTGGCAGTCCACATTGTAGAGTGATATTATTATGTTTTCGTAACGATTTCTGCCAACAGTTTTCAACGTTGACTTAGCTTAATTTGACGTTTGCGAACAAGCTTTTCGTGTTGTATGTATGTTCAGATCATTTAATGTCAATGTTTTAGCTGGTTTCGTCATAAATCCATGAGCCGTTACTATATGGCTATTCCAGTGGCCATAAGTGCCTGATTATGGGGCTGTTTATGTGCTGTTTTACTGTGTTATTAGTCAACTTTTTGAGACACTATGTTTATTCTTGCGAAATTCATACGGTACTTAGTGACTACGTGAGTGCGTGAAGATTCACTGATCTATCGGATGTGTGGAAGTGAAAGAATGACTTTGATATGACCAATAAGCACTTGATACGAGGATGATGCTGTGCGAAAGATCGTGCTCATGGCACGAAAATGGTCTCGAACCTGCTTGCTTAGCAACTTTATAGAAAAACAGTCAACAATGAAGAATTTTCATTTGTAGAGGATTTCATTTATAGACGAGAATTATCGTAACGAAATTTCATTTTTAGAGGCTCTTCATTCGCTCATATCATTCCTCGATGACCCCAGTCAGATTTCGTTCTACACTTTTATGGATTGCTTTTCTAGTCGTTAGTGGCATCGTTTTCGTTCTACTCATTCCACAGAAACGACAATTGCTGCAACAATACACTCAGGTGATTCAACAATCAACTCCAATTGCTCAACCATTTTCACAATTTAATTACTTTTCGTTTAATTACCTCAAATTACTGCTCCAATGATTCATTCAAAGCTCTCTCGCAATCATTCTCTGTCCATGATCCATTTATGGTTCTCGATTTCAGACGGTAGGAATTTGAAGTAAATTGGATCATGACGCATCCATATGAAAATCTAGTAGGACGGTGAGAAGTTGTGGAGTTCATTCGTAGATGAATCAGTTGTCAATCATTTTGGTCGCAGCACACAGTCAATCAACAGTTCACCTAGCTTTGAAATGTCACTGAACCGGGGACGATACAGACTGAGTGATAATAGAATTGCTGAATTGCAACAGTTGATTGTGTTAGCTGAATTTCCGGAACTTAAAATATCAAAGAAGATCAATAACGAAGCCATTTTCAGGCGCAAGAAAAGTTAGCACCTGAGCAAGATGACAGTGCGTCGGATCGTGATTATCGTGAATGTATTCTTAGAGGATTGGACATTGATAAGATCGATGCTGTGAGTTTCAAATTAAAGTCGATCAAAATTTTATTCGACGCAATTAGAATACTACAACAAATTCACGATGGCGTTTATTCATTTTCTCTATCGTTGGTATTCGTCGCGATTTCAGCTCATTGTATGCTCAACTAAACAAACAGATTCGGTGAAGCATACATTTACATACACAAGCAAAGCACACATTTGCATACACAAGCAAAGCACACATTTGCATTCGTTGAAGCGAGCGTTCAGAACTGACAGGATGCAAGTCAAAATTTTCAACGTTTACCCATTCCGCAACACCGATTGAAAAAAACTGATCGAGCAACTAATGAATACCATTAAATTTTATGTTCTTAACCTTTCATATGACCAATATAATAGGGTCATTCGGACCCGTCAGTTTCACCTAAACTCTGCGCAGTCCTGCTCGTATGACAAAACAGTAGTTCTCACGTTTGTGTGTTCCATTACCCCTTTTGATGATCTAGCAGGCCGCCGTTACTCCCCACCTGATACAAGAACTTATTATTTCTACGTATAATGCCATGAAGTTCATTTCAAACTGATTTAGATGGATTCTCATTCTATTCGGGCATGTTGTATTCACTCTCGTAGCTATCACATGCGAATATCGTTCTCTTCATGAGTTTTTCTCATTCACTTCGTCTCATTTCACTTCACAGTTCGAATCGATTTCTCATTCTGTAGCATACACTGTTTACTTGGTACGTTGACGAGTGTTGACAGCTGAAAACAACAATACAGTAATCGAATATCATTGCTCAACAACGTTCGAGAGTCAAACGATTAATAATAGGATGTGTTTGATAGAATGAGAATTTGAATTTAATCGTTGAGTGAAGTGAATGAGAAATTAGTAGAAGAGAACACTCTTGGTGATACAGGTTATGAGAGCGATTGTAACAGCAAGGAATAGAATGAAAACCCTGTTAAAATGAATGAAAAGCCCTGTTAGACCCGGACAAGCTAATGATACTCACAATCAGATAATAGGAGAATGAAGAGTGTCGCCATCAACCAACCGCATTTACATACTCGAGTTAAAAAACACCATCACAATTGCGTTCTATCATAACATAACAACTGCACAAAATGCTAATTTCTCGATCGCTTGCATTACCCCTTGACACCTCCAAATTACCCAAAATGGGTAATTTCGCCCCCTTTGAGAATCATTGTGATAGAAGATTCCTCTTCATCGCAAGAATAAGTGGTTTATTTTAGTTTGAAAAAATCAGCTTGATAACAACATCGAAACAGTAAGCATTCACAATGTTGATGGTGTTGTAAATTGCTGTGTTATTGCAGAGTTGGAATGGCGCTACAACACTGATCAACAAGTGCATGGCAAGTCATGATATGCATCGGAAATTTCCTCTTATGAGACTGCGGAATAGTGATGAGACGAAATATTTGTTGAACGTTACACCAGCTATCAATGTGAGAAACTCTTATGGTTGATGTTTACCATTCAATCAGTCCATTGAGCTATCTCTTCGGTCCAACGACTGAATCATTCTTGACGAGTTTCATCAAACGACTTTCATTTGATGGCTGTATTTGGTTAAAAATATTTAGTATACAAATGATCACTTGATTGTGGGCGATGCATACGTATTTTATTGATGTTTTTTGCAATGCTCAGCTTCGTGAACATTCTTCAAACGGTATTCGTTGACGAGAATAACGGTCTGAAACGGTCGAACGTTTCTGAATAATTGAAGCACTTACTGAACTCGCAAATATGACTTTTTAAAGCCGAACAGGAAAACTGTCCAATGATACAACCACTAAAAAGTCGTCGCCGAGCACTCAATAGATCAAAAAATTGCACTTGCAATATTCACAGTAGATCAGAAACATGCCACATCAATTGATGAAGTCCATGAGCAGATATGTGATAGGTCTCTTGAAAAGAACCAATACGAAATCATCAAATGAATATTTCACCAATTCATATTGCTTCATTTCAATGCTTTCAGGCAAACGAAGAGTGCAATGTGGTAACGTTAGGAATCGGTAAAGATATTGCTGCCGAGGAACAACTGGCTAAGGTGATCTCAAAGAACTGTCATTTCCATGGTGCAGATCCAGGCGAAGCGGACAACAAACAACTTTACTCGAAAATCGGAAAATACTATCCATTTGCAGTTGCTGCAACTAGTGGTGTGCAAAAGGCTTCACTTTATGGTATATAATTTCCACATGGCGATTTCATTGAACTTCATTCATCCACGTTTCATGACCTGGTCGTTCCGATTTCTCCACGCTTTTGCTCAAATCAACTATTATTCGGCACATTTTCATAGCACTTTCCAGTTTTCCTTTCAGATGTTTACAGTTCATGAGATTCCTTTCAGTTAACGGTACGTACAAGCCATATAACATACCACACGTGGACTTGATCACGTTCCTGAAGAAACGTGCAAATATAAGCGTTGTTGACTATCTTTTGATGGATGCGGAGTCTGCTGAGGTAACCGTGAATACTCTTTGATTGCTTCTCTACGTCAAACGAATTCAAATGCTCAGAAATATTGCCACTGAGTGTCGAACTGAAATTGTTACTATTCAGTGACACGAATATTGCACAGTTCACTTATTCCTTTCGGGTGATTTTGAAACTTCTTTCGAGTGCATTGAAACAGTTTCACGAGAATTATTTTGTGACGTCTTCAACAAACCAAACATGCACTGATTTAAATCGTTTGAAACAAAGATACTTCAACAATTTGCTATAAATCTCCTGAAGAATGCATAGCGTTGAGAAGTTTTCAGTATTGATCTGTTTCATGAGCATTGATGAATGCTTTATTTTAAATTTCAGTTCGATATGGCACCAATGTTTTTGCCAGGTGGCGCCATTGATAAAAATGGCATAACTGTGTGTCAGTGGAATTGTGAGTTTCATGCGGGTAATCATGAGACGCACAAGAAGTTTGTTGACTTCATGAGGGAGAACATCATTTCTGGATGGTCAGATATTCAGCAATTACTGCAATCATTATTTTCATTTCTTTATTTTCTTTATTATTACCATTAATTTCGCTAAAATGTACTTCGTCATCATTTCAATTAAATACATTTGGGAGTGAATCGACAATTCCTACACTTCAAATTGCGTGATTATCATAATTCACCCGTTTTCGTTTCCGAATTCAAGTCTTGGACAGCTTATTCATTGATCCAGCCAAACAGAACCTACCTACTCGCATCACAACTATTTTGAATGACTAGATGATCAAGCATAAGCCAGATCATAGCCTTGCTTAGGCTGGATAACTCATAATGTTGTTATACCATTCGGTTTTAGGCAAAGCGTCAACGCCGAGGAGAATTCGGTGATGATCCATTTCACAGTCACCAATATTTGATTAGTGTCATTGAAGGACTGATTACTTAACAATTCATCGCGATTCAGAAAACACAAAAATGATACATTAAAAGCCATATGAGTGATGATTTTACGGGTTTCTGGATTTGCTGTTGACGAATTCGAAGCGTTCGTTGAGTTTTGAGAATGTTTTAAATGTTGAAACACAGCCATATTTCAGGTACGTACCACTCAAGTTCGAGTTTGTTGGTCACATTCGAACAACTTTAATAAATGACCATAATGAACTATGCAAAAAACGTTATCTGCAGTTTTTGCCGAAATGATCGAATCAATACATAGGCGAGATCATCCATCACTCTTCAACAGTCCATACCTCGAGATATCAGCTCATCGGCTTGAATCCCTTTGGCTTCAACAAAACCAGATTCTAAAGTTCATTCAATTCTCGAGGTGTTGTCATTTGATCCTAAGAATGTTGTGTGTCATAAGCATTTTATAATGATGAGTTATAAATGGAAAACTTATTGTCCAAATTTGGTGATTGAAAAAATTCGAAAGCATATTCATGGAATTTGATGAACTCATTAGAGACATTCGCAGCACAATACCTCATTATTTTGTGTGAATACTGCATTTCAAGTGCTAATCGTTTGTTTAAGCCGAATTCGAATTCTCTCAAATACTTTGCCAACGAAATGATAACCAACAATCTGCCTCTATACGTTTGTGTTGTTTCACTATCGAACTTGAATAATTATTTTCATTGTGTTTTTTTTTTCAATCTCATGTGATGAGTATTCGAACGAAGATGTTTGTATTCGCTTCCAATATCGCTGTCGGTATTTGATCAGAATTCAACTATCCGATCAGCATCGAGTTTGCTTCATCATATACTTCTGAATGTTTTTGCAGTAATGTTTTGATAAAGTTTGTGAAATGGTGTTTTGCTTTTGCTATGTTTTTCATTCAAGAAATGCAGAACTTGTCAAACATCGGACTAATCGACGGAATGAGAATGCAGAAACGCAATGAAAAAGTGTGAATTGCTTTGATTGCTTTGAAAAAGTGTGAATTGTGAATTGCTTGTCATCTTGAGTCTAAGCTAATAACAGTACACTTGCATGTGAATATGAAATTCTTGATTCTCAAACACTTATTTGCAGTGCTTCAAGTCCATTTTCTCGCAGCATTAGCATCAGGTGAATTCTACCATTTCAGAAAATTCGATTTTTTACGAAAGAAATGCATCATTTGAATTTTGAAAAAATTAAAAGTTCAGAGTTTATCTAAAAAGTGACAAAAAATCCGCAATGGATTTTCACAGAACCATTGAGCACTTACATGTTTGATAATTTCGATCAGAGATCATGGAAATGTAC